TGCGAACTCTATGTGTGTGTCAGTGTGTGTCCATATGGATGTGTGTAACATGTTGTAGGGTTAATTCCAGTGCGTGGGAGCCCCCAAAATCCTGCTGGATTCATCTTTCCCTCTTCCTGTTACTGCCGCCTCCTCCATATCATATCAGTATTCATCTTTCTTTGTGATTAATACAATAGAGATTTATAAAAACTCTGTCAACTTTGATTGTGCGTGACTCAGTTTCGCCGTCACCTCCATACTGCTACGATAAGTCTGCGGCTCTGCCCCCATATTGTAGTTGATGACAAACTTGGGGCCCGGTCTCATCCTCGCCTCCAGACGCACACGCACACACACACACGCACACAATGTTTGATCAGTGTGAGGAAGTGTGGTGAAGAAAATCATCCTGCGGGGTTTTAGCCTCACTTTTTCTATTAAACACAAAAAGGAAATGCAAAAACTGAATACAATTAACACATCACAAGCATACGGTTGTAAAGGGTTATCAGTGCCTGACATTTTATGCATCTTCACTTCTATCTTAATAAAATGGTCTGCATGTATAGCTGGGGAAAAGTATTGAACAAGAAATTACTCTACATTTGACTGACTTTGTAGGTGGCTTAAAGGTAGGGTAGGTAAGAATGGAGAAACCAGCTCGAGTGCGCTAGAATTTGAAACTACGCAGCCGATAAAAATCTGCCCCTTCCTTCAGACTTCCTTACAGAGCCCCTCCTCCAACACACACGAACGCGCACATGACCAATGAGGGCACGAGATAAGTTTGTGCACAAATGGAAGGCTGACAGGCAGGTAGGCCATCCAGTTATTTTAGCCGGGCCGGCTCAGATGATTGGTCCAGCACCACAGATGAATGCACACACACACACACACACACACACACACACACACACACACACACACACACACACACACACACACAGCTCTTTGATAACCATGCCAATCGCTCCAAGCTTGCGCTAACACATTTCAGCACACCAGCACTTACTGTGGATTGGGTTCAGAAAAAAAGGTTAGCGGAAGCTTTGATCCCTAACAGAACACATGCTAGCACATTATTGCTGTGACACACCGTGCCATTGTGCTTTACATGTATATACTAGCCAAAGGGGAGCAGAAGATGGTGTGTGTGTGTGTACGTCTTTTATATGCTGTCAGTATCTTTACAACTAGCTGCCTACTGTGAAATAATACAAGATGTTTAAGCTAATGGGACTCCCAGCGGTGTATCAGCCTTCATTAAGACTATGTTTTCTTTATCAAACAAACAGATCAAACTATTACTCTCACTTGGACAATTTCACCCTGTGCTATAAGCAAACATATCTTTTTATATTTTGCTTTGGAAGAACCAGCAAATTGTGCTTTGTTACATAGACAATAAAAGAGAATAGAGTCAAATTACATTTCTGTAGTTTTACAACAGTGTTGTTGTTGTTGTTGTTGACAAAACTAAAGAGCAATAACTTGATTGTTTTATTGAGAAAAAATCAGCCATTATTTTTCTATGCACCGCTATGGTTATTATATTCTCTTCAAAAAGAGAAAGGAATATTCAATCCAGTCATTGTGAATATTAAGCCTTTTATGATATTTAGCTTAATACTTTGGCTGTTGGTTGGTAAACTAGCAATTTAAAATGTCAACATGGAACCTGGTAAAATGTCATTGCTGTTTTTATTTTATTTTAAAGACCAAGTGATGAATGGAAACAATAATCAACATATTAATCAATAATGAAAATAATTGCCAGTGCAGCTCTTTAAATAACGATGTTTATAATAGTTCTAGTTTCTTATCATAATATGCTTGAAATCATACATTTGGAAACAATAATTTTGTTAACCTTAACTATCTGCGTATGCCTAACACCGATCTGGTACCACTGCTCCCTTTTTCCTTAATTTAAAGCCTGTAGATCTCACTGCAGTGCCTTTTTAATGGAATGATTTTTATGTCAAATGACATGAATAATGATGGCAGATACTCAATCCTCTTACTGGGATAAGTTTTGGATTGGATAGGTGCATTCGAAAAATATACAATCATATATTTTATCATTTGTTCAGCCCTAAATAACCGCACATTGGCCAGTTTCTAGTGTTACTCATGCAGAGCCTACCGGGCATATGAAAGGCTCTGTTGTTACTGCCATCCATTTTGTTGCAGTAAGTAATATTTCTGTGTTTCCAAACAATTTCACAAATTCAGACGTGTGTGTGTGTGTGTGTGTGTGTGTGTGTGTGTGTGTGTGTGTGTGTGTGTGTGTGTGTGTGTGTGTGTGTGTGTGTGTGTGTGTGTGTGTGTGTGTGTGTGTGTGTGTGTGTGTGTGTGTGTGCATACACATTTACAAACCGCCTTTACACATTTGTTTGTGTGTACTTGTGTGTGTATCTCCACACTGTGAATCTGTGTGTCTTCATACCTGCTGGGTTGTGCAGAATTGACTGGGCACGGTCAGCATGAGTAAGCAGCCGGGGGAAGATTGAGGCAGCCAGATGCGGCGGCCCCGGGCTACGGAGGATATCATTACCCCGGGTGTGTAGTCGGCCAAAACAGGAGCCCCCAAGCGGAGTTTCATCAAGGTGGACCCCCGTCTATGGCGAGGGGGAGGACACCAGTTAACCTGTTGTCCCGCGGTGAGGAGCGGTATTAAGCGGCAGGTGGAAAGAGAAAGCATCCCGTGACTGGAAAGAGGTGGACATAAGAAAGTGTGTGGATACTTACAGGGTAGCAAGCAGACACACTCTAACTGTGGAAGATTGTCTCTTTTGATTTCCCCTCCCTGCTTCTCCTGCAACACATCAGTAAACCCTGTAGGGCCTCTGTGTGTGTTTGCATGTACATTTAAAAAAACTTTTATATCATCATTTCCAACCCATGGATCCTACTTTTCAGTATCATTTACCGCAATGGAGCTTTTGCTTTACTTACATACATAAACATGTACCCCTAAAAATTTCCATTCAAAGGAAATAGCCAGGATATTTTTGGTGCGGGGACTCTGACAGAACAACTTGATACATTGCCGCTGGCAACGACATCAGCGTACGGGAATTGGACCTTCTCCCCTCAGTGAGGTAACCCATAGGCCATGAATCATGCTGCCTTGCTCCAGAGTCCTGTGGTCCCGGGGGTTGACAGTTTGACCGCTCCTCAATGTGGTCTCTCTCTCCTCTACTGACGCTCCTCCCATCACCACACATTCCAACCAGCGGACCGGTCACATAAGGTCAAGGAAAACATTTAAGAATATAAATTAGTAATGCATCTTATTAGCAGGACCCCACATTTCTGTTCACATCCTAAAGCCATATCAGAGTAATGACAGAAGTGTGTGGAGAGGAATAGTGATGAGACTGATAGATGACAAGAAAAACAATATCTGAAAAAATCCAAATGTATAAACTGATCCATCAATGGATGACAAAAGGCCTGAATGAAGGGCATTCCTGTGCGTCTGTTTGCCTGGCTGTTTTGGCAGCTCAGACATGGAGCTAGTCTGGCAGCCTGCCTGTCTGTTTTTTCTCTGGTTTCTCCTCCATACTGGTGGGTCACTGGTGTTTGGATCACTACTGCTGACTGTTAACCACTTACTTGGACTGAGCCTCACCGGCATGCATTTGATATGGCTTAGTGATTGATTATGTACAGTAAGAAAGTCATATATCAAACATTTGGTCGAAAAAGGGTGAGAAAAGGATGTTCTGGGTAAAGTAAATGAATGCCAGAATTGATCCCAATCATATTGATGAGATCACTCCACCATTATAATCAAATGTGTACCTTTTTTAAAGAGCAGCAGTGAGTTTATCAAAAGCTTAGGCGAGTCCAAGTGATGAATAGACAGTTCGTCCGGTGCAAGAGCAGTGCTTCAGCAAGTGGTTTTAACAGTGCCCCGGGCCATACTCCAGCTGAGTTAAACACATCCCGTGAGTGTGTGTTTCTGTGTGTGTGAGAGAGAGACATGACACGTCTGAGAGTGTGATGTAGTCACTTCCTCCCGCTGCACTGAGCCACTGTTGTCAGCTTGACCCTGCGCCAGTTAACCCCTCGCCACCCTTGGCTCTACAGGCGTGGGCCCCGGGATGTGTGTGTGTTTGAGAGAGAGGGAAAGACAGATCGTATGTGTGTAGCGTGTGTGTTGGCAGACCACAGGTGTCTGGTCACGGTGTCAGGGTGTTAAGAGGTCTACTGAGAGGGGCCCCCAAAAAAATCTAAGCATCTGTTTCGGAGGGAAGGAGCAACAGAAAAGAGGAGGAGAGGTTGGTAAGGGTTACCAACACACACCCCGAGGGGAGTGAGGGCTTGTTGGGGGGGAGTATCTGACAAGCAGGTGCCTATGTTGACAGTAACCCTTCATACTTGAACCCCACCACCTCCCACACACACACACACACACACACACACACACACACACACACACACACACACACACACACACACACACACACACACACACACACACACACACACACTGCACTGCACATACTTACAATACATCCTGGAGAGGCAAATAATTGCTGAGCCTGATTAGAGGGAATGCAGAGGGAATCCCCTTCAGACACGCACACACACACGCACACGCACGCACACGCACGCACACACACACACCAATGGATCTTTTTGCTTTTGGGTCAAAGGTGAAAGAAAAAGAGAAGAGTGAACAGAACTCTGACACTTCCTGCTGTCCGTCTGTGTGTGTTTTTCTGTGTTATATTTGTTTGCACATATGCAGACCATGTGAACAGAGAGACAATACGGATACGTTTACAAGCTGCTTTCCTTTTATATTACAATGTATACTTAGTAAACATATGCAAGTGTAATAGAAACTCTGCATCCTGAATGCTTGACATGCTTGTCTGGGAATGATTATTTTGCTAAGAAGGGGGGGAAGGCAGGACGCAGCGGGAGGTAGAGGAAAATTGGAACAGCTGTTGATTAACATGAGTGCTCTGTCTCTCTTTCTTTATTTTACTCTCTCTCAGTAGAGGAGGAAGAGGAAGATGAGGAGATGATGGAGGCGAAGCCAGGCCCCGAGTCGGAGCAACAGGATGAAGATGACAACAGGGAAAACAAAGAAGGTACAAAGGATGAATCCATTATTGGAGGGTAAACATTTTCAGCTATTAGCATTTTAGACATCCGTAATCACCTTATTTATTCTGGTTACATTTTCTTTTGTAGGTTTCCTCCTGCATGTTTGAATACAAAGCCCATTAGAGCAACAATGGTGTTTTAAAACATTTCAAGCATAGCAACAAAGTGCAAAAAAGCGCATAATAAAAGGAAATGTAAATACAATGTGAAACACTAAACACTAATTTGAATAAAACAGGCATGAAATAAAACCATAAAAGTTACAGAACAGTTTAGGAAATAAATAGTTATTCGATGAAATAAAATGCATCTGCGAACCCATTTCAGTTCATTTATTTGTGTTTATTAATTAACTTTATGTAGCAATTGTGCCCTGAATTTCTGCAGACAGAAAAACATAACATTCTTTACCCTCTAGTTTTTTTCCTAGACTTCTCTCATGTTGTTTTTGAAACTGTCACAAATCCCGGCCACTTGTGTTTGACACCGTCTGCCAGTCAGTGGGTGTATCAGATGGAAGGACGGGGGTGATTATGGTGGGGGTTAAGGCGGGTCCAGCATATCAGCTCCATGGCATGTGGGGGTCAGCACTGATTAAAAACCTGTCACTTGACCCCCCCCTGACCACACTTCAAAGAGGAGAGGAATGGAGAAGCGCGTGTGTGTATGTGGAGCGTTTGTGTTGTGAAATATGGAGATTAGGCTTGATTGAAATACAACATGTGATAAAAACACAGATGGAAAGACATATTCGTATTTAGACTCATAACACACTCCTGACGGCACTGAATGTGACTCACACACACACACACACACACACACACACACACACACACACACACACACACACACACACACACACACACATAGTCAGATGTATGCACGCACACACTCATAAACACAAAGTCATCCGTCTCCTCTCCATCCTGGCCTATTAGAAGGTCTGGCCTTTGATCTCTGCCACTCGAATCACTGGGTCTTTTCTGACAACTCGTAAGAAATACAAAGGGATGGGGGGGGGATCAAAGTCAAGAGGCAGGGTAAAGGTCGATATATGTGTGTGTCTGTGTAAAAATTGCATGTGTGCTTGGGGACAGTGACTTCAAAACCCGGACGCCGTGCTGTGCAGCCATTACGTTCAAAGGGAGGCGGGACGCTTTGTTTTTTCTCTTGTTTATGAACTTCTTACTGTAGGGTTTTATTAGAAGAGATGCATTAGGAACTGTTTGTAGTTTAGTATGTCCTTGATGGGATCCTGGTTTTGATAGAGATGAAGTGAATGTTAATCTGACATCGGAAGCCCTTTTTTCTTTATAATGCATTAAAGTCATACACAGCCAGGTATTTGAACTATTTTCAGTTATTAAAAGTAAGTTGTCACAATCATTAGAGTAGTGTAAATACAGATGTCTTAGTTGAGTTTAAAAATATAGAAATGTCTTTAGTAAAACCCTTTTGAACGGTACAGAGCGAAAGTGTGGTTCAGCTATTTTATTTAATTAATTTTTTTTATTGAGTCAGGCACAATGAGTTTACATTTATACAGTCAATATTTTTATTTATTTTTCCCCTTTCCCCCCCTCCCGGTCCTAGCTAGTAAATTAAATAACTAACTAAATAAAATAGATACATAGGTAAAAGTAAAATAATGTAGAAGGTAATATTAAAAGAAAATGTATAGATAAGGGAATAAAGAATATTAACAGTAATACATGTATCCATATACTCACATATGTATACCCACACATACACAGCTATTTAAAACCAAATCACATAACTGTATTTTGTAGGTCACATCAAATAATATTGACTTATTACAGTTTTAAATGCACTATTGAGATTATTTATTATTTGTTTCTCTTAAATAATGCAACAAAGGATTGAACAATTTTATATTTCAGGTATAAAAAGGAAAAGAGAAAATGTTAACTACATAGATTTAACAGCTTCTAGTACTGATAAATGTATTGTCAACGTTCCCTACTTTTAGCTACTTTGTGAGGAAGGTTTTTCTCTTGTTTTATAATTAAAATAAATGTAATATCTTTGGAATTTGGATGATTGGTCGGACAAAAGAAATGCAAAGTTTTAAGATGTTAAACCCACGTTTTGTCCGGGGTGCGCTGTGCATAATGTGTGAATAACTGTTTCTCTCATGCTCTTGTCTTTATGAAATGTTCCTTTCACCAGGCTCAGTTCTGAGAGAGCTGACGGAGGAGGAGAGGCAGCAGATCCTGCACTCTTCAGACTTTCAGAGTTTCTTCGACTCCAGCATCCGGGTGATGGAGAGAGCTCTGGCCGAAGACGGAAACATCTTCTTCGACTACAGCGGCCGGGACCTGGAGGAGAAGGAGGGGTGAGCTTGGAAGGGAGGAGGGAGAGTATGTGTTTGGCTGTGAGAGCACATGTGTGTGTGTGTTTGCTTGCGTGCCTCAAACTAGGAAATGTGCAAAGACTGACTCATGCCCACTGTGACACTTTAGGGTCCCGGGAACTCCTTTGTTCTTCAAAAGGCATATTTTCCTGCTGATGTCACCCTCTCAGGGGGAAACTGACATCCATCATCTCGTCTTGCAATCTGAACAGTTGTAGGTTATCAAAGTGTCGGTTGAAGTTAGAAATGCAAAGATGTGTTAGTATACTGCTCTGCTATTATATACAAATGCTTCTAACTTTGACTTTGACCACTGCAGCCACAGTTAAGCATCAAGCCTGTGGTTATTTATAAAACAGGCTCAACATCAGTACTCTCCTTTTCACCGTTTCCATTTTTTTTTTTTTTATGTAATTGTAACAACATAACCACCATTCAATCTAATTTAGCACTGCAGACAAAGGGGATCATTCACAGTGAATAGTGAACAATGTTTGTTGAACCGTACACCCCAGCATGTGCACTCCGCTCTGCATCGGCCAAACAGCTCGCTGCACCCACACTGCGAGGAGGACCCAAGTTCCCATCAGCAAAAACACGTGGGTTTGCTATCCTGGCTCCAAAATGGTGGAATGAGCTCCCCATTGACATCAGGACAGCAGAAAGCTTACACATCTTCCGGTGCAGACTGGAAACTCATCTCTTTAGACTCCACTTCGAGCGATACAATTAAAAAGAAATAAATAACAAAAAAAAGCACTTCTATACTAATAAAGGACTGGCTTATCTAAAGCCAGTTGAGTAGCACTTGAAATGTTTTGGCTCTATGAAACCTGATGTACTTATATGATTCTGTTTTCTTCAAGTTTAGGTTAGTATCTTGTATCTTGTTGGTCGAATGCACTTTGTAAGTCGCTTTGGATAAAAGTGTCAGCTAAATGTAATGTAATGTAATTGACTGAGTTGCAATGAACAAATAGACACAAAATACAAAACAGCTTACTGAAATGATGCAACAATCTGACTATTTTGAATACACCGTGTGGATTTCCAGATTGGAGACATCCCAGAAGTGATCACAACTCAGGGACAGTTTCATCCCACAGGCAATAAGACTGTTAAACACCTGCACTGTTGAAACAACATCCATAACATTCATCCGGCTGCTACTTAGAAATAATTCATCTATTTAATTCTAATATATCATATTCCAATAAATTGCATATAGACTCTTATTGCACTATTTCACTTTTTTAAACTATTTTTCTTTTTGTATTTACTTGCACTGTATTTTTCTGTTTATCTGTGTTTTGTGTTGCACTGTTGGAGGAGCCTGTGACCTAAGATTGTCATCGGCATAACTACACTGTAGCAATGTTCGTATGACTAAATAAAAACCTTGAACCGACCCCTGCAGACTGAAGGCACATTATTTCCTTAGCAGGATATTTCATGATATATTTACTGTGTTTTTTTCAGAGACTTGGGTAGCGGCTCCAGTCTGTCCTTCAGCCGAGTTTTCTACGATGAACACTGGTCCAAACATCGCGTGATCACCTGCCTCGACTGGTCCCCTCAGGTGAGGCCTGCAGCTATGTGTGTGTCAATGTACATTTAAAATGAATACATACAAAACTATGCTTCCTAAAGCCTTGCAGCAAACATTCAGGTGTTGAGCATCACTTTAATACTTATATTTTCATCCCTCTCTGTCTCTCTCTTCCAGTATCCAGAGCTGCTGGTCGCCTCTTACAACAATAATGAGGATGCTCCTCATGAACCGGATGGTGTTGCTTTAGTATGGAACATGAAATTTAAGAAGGCCACCCCCGAGTACATCTATCACTGTCAGGTGCTTGTACACACATTTTCACAACTACAAAATATGATGGCAGATATGATTTCAGGACATGTAAGGAAGATGTTCATTTGACTTCTCCTATGTTTTGTGGGTGTTTAGTTGCAAGTATACAAACATCTGCAACGAACCTACAAAAAAAAGAACAAATCATGCTACATCTCCCTCTCACCTCTTTTCATACAGTACCTTAAGTGGCAACCCAACAGCTCCAGCTTTTTCCTCTTTTCTACCCTATAATGAGAGCCCCTTTGTGACTGAATAGTAACGAGTGAAGCAAAGGGAAATGAAAGGCAGCACCACAAGCGCTCATTTGACCCTCCAGATTGGATTAAAGCTGAACGGTGCCACTGCAGGCCAGTTCTAATGGAAAGAAACTCAATGATGGGTGAGATGCTAATAACAAGTGACACTGAGAAAACGGGATGGAGGAGAGAGGGATAGAAGGATTGGGTGTGAGGGTTTCACGGCTCCCGCGAGACAGGCGAGGCCGTATAGAGACGTCTTGCTAGTTAAATGATGTGGCCTACCACTTCCTAATCCAACGCTGCCACATGTGTGTGTTAGCCCACCCACGTTGATGCTGCGTCTAATGTCAGCAGTGCCGGGTTTCCCAATAATTAAAACATTTTCCTCATACACGTCACTGCAAATTTGGAAATACACCTGTAAAAGTATTAAAGTCACAGGCTTCATTGCTCAGAAATAAAATGCACACACATACTTTCACATTCAGGCTTCGTTTAAACAGAGGAAATAGATTTTTTTTTCTTTTTTGTCGAACACATACAGAACCACATACTCCAGAAGACCGCACTCTGCGTGGAAATATTTCAATATCTAGCTCGCAACACAAGTCTCGCTCCATAATGGACTTTTAAAGCACTCGGTTTTTTCACTGCACCATAATTTATGCCGCTGCTAAAATCCATGTGGTCTTAAGGATGGATTACAGCGAGGGATCGTGTAGCTTTAGGATTCAGTAGTTTTTCCATGTGGTTCTCTGACGAAGTATTCACAGTACATCTGACTTTATTAACATTGCGGTTTCTGAGCATGCTTATTTGTGGATCACCAGTAATGAATATTAGACGTTGGGGTTCAAGGATGTTTGTGTGAGCAGCTGATAAAATGCTTAGTTTATATTAAGGGTCCATTCAGCTGCTAATGCGTACAACAGAGGTGAATTGTGCTCGAGTGTAAGTGAAAATGCGCTCACTGGAATACAATAGCGTCTGTTTTCATTGAAAAACCGAGGATTAAGGGTCTGTAACATAACAACGTATTGTCAATTGTGTTTGTTTTTGATTCTCAGACTCATACGAAGCACTTTCTTCAAACAAAGTCCAAACATTGTCCACATGCCGAGATTTGTTTTTTTTTTGTAAGTGAGTGTTTACTGGAAAGATGTGCATTAGATGAAGTGATATCAGATGGGGGAAAAGACCGAAGAAAAACTGAGTGAACAGAAACTCCCAAGTGCCTCACTTTCCTACCGCCCCAGTGTTAGTCAGTGAGTTAGTGTGGCCTGGGGCTGAGCCATGCTCTTCTCATGCGGGGAGAAACAAAAGGGAATGACTCAAAAACAACGAAAGGAAGATAAAGTCGAGCGCAAATGAGCAGGGAGTTGGAGTAATGGAGTGCCCATATAAACAGAGGATGAATGAAGATAAAATAAAATGGAGTGGAAATAGAAAGAAGGTGCCCCAGCCATGACTTCCCCTGTCACTGTTGGATTTGGATGAAAGCAGCACAGGAGCGGTTAGACGAGAGGGAAGAGGAGAAGAGACATTTTTTCTCTTCTTTTCCTTTTTGCGGGGTCTTTTACAAACGGAGCCGCGACTCCATAGTTAGCCGTGGATCGAATGGCTCTTAATGTGCGAGCATGTCCTGCCGAGTAACCCCCCCAAAACCACAGGGCCGGGGGCCTCTTCCCCTCTTTCTCTACTTTTTCCTGTTCTTCTTTTCACCTTCAACCTCCCATACTAAACTAAAAGAACAGGCGGATAGGAGGCTTTCTCTATGCATCTATTGTGGGTTTTATTTTGTGGATGGATAGGTAGATGTCTGAATACCATAGTGCTCATAATGAGTATCATTCACGTGTTTGAAGGGTACCAAAGAATGACAGTGCAGAGTTGGTATTGGAGGGTTTGTGGTTGAGGTTCAGCAGGGGCTTTATCGTATAAGGCTAGGCTTATAGAAGGCTTCGTGTTTCAGATGGGGTTTCGGTGAGGTCAGGCTTCTATATTTCTTGCCTGGCCGCATGCAGTTTGGTGGATGGGCTTAGCAAAGCAAAACAACGACCTTCCTAACAACGTACAACCTCCTATTCAGGGTTTCAATGTTTTCTCCTAAACAAGGGTTCACATTTTGGTTAGAAATGTGTCCGGTGCAGTTTTATTTGTTTCGGAGCTATATTGGAGCTGTATTCAGTTTTTGTAGGGACCTTGTTTAATTACACTTGACACGACACATCATTTCTCATTAGGCAATGTTTTTTATCAGTTAGCCCTGTTGGGATTTATTGTCTGTGACTTGCTGGTGTTGTGCAAAGTAAAACGTTGAAAAATTGGTGTTGATTTTGGGAGGAGTACAAGTGTGTGTCTGACTGCAACAGTGTTGTAATATTGTATTCTAATGCAACAGTTAAACAGACAGGTCCTGGTTTGACAAATGGTGTTCCCTCGTCGATCCTAAAAAATTCAAGATTAATCAATTCCATTTAAAGTCACATTAAAGAATCATGTCCAAGCTGTTTTCAATATATATTTAAAGTTTTATATTTTCAGATCTTGAATTCTAATTCATTCTAGACAGCGAGTAAACTATAACTGATATTAAACATCCCCTTGATGACCGGGGGCAGTTTCATGACCCCACTTTAGCCGCCAGTGATCCGTAACATAACAGAGGAAGTGTGACCCGTCAGTGGGAAGGGGGCGCTGCTGTGGATTCTGGTACCAGTTGAGCGTGCCTCCCCTCATCAGGGCCGTCTCAGCAGTTGGACCCATCATCGCCCCATCCCAGTTGGGGCCAATCTTGTAACTTCACACCAGCCTCTCAAGTGGGCAAAGTCACACCACATTAAAGAGCCCGTTTGACTTAAAACCTCTGCCGAACCCCCGAAACCACACGCCTCCGTGTAACAACCCCCGCCGCTGCTGTCATATCCCATTGGACTCAGACATATTTTTATTAATATCGTGCTGCCTTGCGTTGTTCCCTAGGCCTTTGACACATCCAGGAAGGTTGAGTAAGAGAAGCGGAGTAGGAGGAGAGAGGGAGGGAGGGAAGGAGGGTAGGGAGCGAAAAGAGAGACCACTGCAACAGCATTATTCACAGGCCTTTTCTAAGTTGGAACCAATGTGAAATGACACTGGAGGATGAAGCTGCATTGTGTTCAGAAAGCTTAGCAGAGAACTCCTGTTAGCGCTAGCGAAGCAATATACGACTGTGAGACTGATTTTGAGTTGATTTGGAAACATATGTAGCTTGTTCTTGAAAAAACGTTTTAGGGTTGAATTTTGCGGTAAATTTGATTATTTGTACAACTTTGGCTGTACGAAAAGCTGTGTCTCATTTTGCAACAAAAAAAAAAGTCTGGATGTTGAAACCAGTTCTTCTTAAACCCAACTTGTTGAGAATTGGGCCTTACTCTCCATGGCTGAGAGTTAAAGAAAGTTTTACGTATTATGCAAATATATTTTATTGGTAAGAGAAGATTGATACCACAGGTTTACCTACTTTAGCGTAAGATCTGGAAAAAATAAAACAGCTAGCGAAAGTCCACATACAAGCTCACTTATTAGGACATATTTTTTTGTTTAATTAAGATGTTATTTTATAGTGGGTTACTTTATTTGGTTTCATTATTTCTTCCAGGTGTGTTCTGGTACTATTAAAATGAGGTTGCCAGCAAGAAAGCAGATTTCCCAACATGTTAAACTTTGAAAAAATATACTCTCCTACCCAAGATATTTAAAGAAGTATTGTTTTAATATCGGTATGGAAACTGTCGACTTTTGGCAACAATTTTGACAAATAGCTAATTCTACCCTACTAGGAGAATCTACTAGAGTAGGAATTCAAAGTTTAAGACTGCTCAATTTGCCCCGTTTTACATTCTGTGGTAATATTGCAATAGATATAAATGTGTGTGGAAAACAGACCTGAGGAAGAACTTGTAGAATCTGAATCTATTTTTCAATATCAGAATAGAAAACAGCAGTGTATGGTTGAGTCAAACACGCAACCATCATTAAAGCAACTAACAAAAGAAAAAGATATGAACCCAACAAACTAAATATATGAAATAAAGAGATAGGAGCCCTAGGAGGCAGAGACAGGCCTGTTGTTGCTCCCAGAGCCTCTTCCTCATGCTTTCGCTCCTCATTCTTTGCAGGGTGAAATTGAGACTCGGCTCGGTATTTCTCTCGCTTTGCCAGAAACCACAGAGTGACAAAATCCGTGGGGTGTCATAAACGAGCGAAGCCAGGGGGAGAAAGGGAGGAGAAAGGTGGTCGGGAGGAGGAAGGGGGAGGTTGAGGAGCGGGGATGCGAGGGAAGACAGTCAGATCCATCTGGTCCTGATAAGGCTGAGTGGAAAACAGATGAGTGTGGTGAGCAAAGGGGGGGAGGCAGGAGGGGGGGGAAGGATGGAGCGTGGATCTACTTTTACCATGCCCGATCACCCCCCCCCCCCCCCCCCCC